CATTTCAATGAGTTCAAAATGGAGAGTGCTGTATTGCCATCAGGTGAAAAGCAACAGCAGGTGGTCAGCAGACTGCATCAGAATTCAAGGATACAAACTCCTACAGAGTACAATAAATGGTGTAACACAGTTCCGTGACTGCCTAGGTAGTGCTTTTCTCTATGCAGGGAGAGGCAAGAGTGGTCCAGGATCTAATTTATATAACAAGCTATTTAAGAGGGAAGTATATAAATCATGAAGAGTATCACATCAAGCAGATGCTATTATTAGCCCAACCTAGATGAGGTTATAGAATTGCATTAGAAAGCCTCAATTAAAAAAAAAAAAATCAGGAGGAAACTTTTCCCACTTCAAGATTCCATGAGACAAATTCTCTCAAGCAATGATTAGATATTATCCAGAATAATAATACTGAAAATAGATGTGGAGAAGAAAGGTAGAAAAAGCACAAGTTCACCCAAATGGGTCACAACGTGTTCCTAATGTTCACTGTCAGTATGTTTTAGAGATAAGAGATCATAGCCAACTAACAGAGTGGTAGCTGAAAGTAAAATTAAACTATAATTCTGCACAAAAAAAAAAATTTAATTACATACTGCTTATGTAAGGTTGATGTAAAGTTAACTGATCCAGAAGCATTTTCAGCAGTGTCCTCTGATACTCTGGTCTCATTCTTCCATTACCTGTCCTAAGCACACTGAATTTTCCCCTCTGACAGCTTTTACCAATCCTACAGAAATAGCATTTATAGGCATTTCCACCCTTGTGATATGATCAGAGTGGAGAGTGTGAGGGCACACCTTGGTTTCTGTTCCAGCCATCAAAACCCATGAGGAATATGTGGATGTGGACAGAAAGCCACAGCAGAGAAACTAAAAGCAACAAGGTAAAAAAACCCACCAACCAACCAACAAACCAGAGAAAGGAAAAGGAAGAAGGAAAAAGGAAGAATGAAAAGTGTGTGCAGTGAAGAAAGGAGACTGAGGTGAAGCAGGACAAGGGAAACAGCAACGAGCACACACACACTATTTCTGTCCCTGGAAATTAAGTCCGTAACCCTGGAAAGAAACAGATAGCATAACTTTGTGCCCATGCAAAACCCACTTCACTTTAAAGAATCAATACCTTAGAAAAAAAAGCACAATCAGCTACACAGAGAGACAACAGCTTTAATGTAGTAGTTTATACTGCATGCCCTACAGAGTACATCTACTTTAAAGGTCTTCCTTCTGTACTTTTAAAGCTCAAGCCTCATTTGGAAAAGAAAAACAGATCTTATTGAAGGATTTATTGGGGTAACTTCTCTAAGGACAGACAGGGCTAGCTGAACATACTCTTGGCAAGGAAGAGTTTTGCATTTCTTTGAAAGATAATCCTTCGTGCCACACTGCCACTTGGAACAAGACTTTCACCATTCCCTGTTTGCAGACCAAGAGCAAATGAAAGTACTTTCTTACGCTGTTCAAAGAGTGCGTATTGGGTTTGCGTAGCAAGGTTTTAGTAGCGGGGAGGACTACAGGGGTGGCTTCTACAAGAAGCTGCTAGAAGCTTCCCCTGTGTCTGATAGGGCAAATGCCAGCCAGCTCCAAGATGGACCCACCACTGGCCAAGGCCGAGCCCATCAGTGACAGTGGCAGCACCTCTGTGATAACATATTTAAGAAGGGGGAAAAACACCTGTGCAACTGCATCTGAAGAGAAGAGCAAGAATATGTGAGAGGAACAACTCTGCAGACACCAGGGTCAGTGAAGAAGGAGCGGGAGGAGGTGCTCCAGGCACCGGAGCAGAGATTCCCCTGCAGCCCCTGGTGAAGACCATGGGGAGGCAGGCTGTGCCCCTGCAGCCCATGGAGGTCCATGGTGGAGCAGATATCCACCTGCAGCCCATAGAGGACCCCACGCTGGAGCAGGTGGATGTGCCCAAAGGAGGCTGTGACCCCGTGGGAAGCCCACGCTGGAGCAGGCTCCTGGCAGGACCTGTGGACCCATGGGGGGACCCATGCTGGAGCAGGTTTTCTGGCAGGACTTGTGAACCTGTGGAGGACCCACGCTGGAGCAGCCTGCTCCTGAAGGACTGCATCCCATGGAAGGGGCCCACGCTGGAGCAGTTCGTGAAGAACTGTAGCCCATGGGAAGGACCCACATTGGAGAAGTTCATGGAGGACTGTCTCCCATGGGAGGGACCCCACATTGGAGCAGGGGAAGACTGTGAGGAGTCCTCCCCTGAAGAGGAAGGAGCAGCAGAGACAACGCACGATGAACTGACCGCAACCCCCATTCCCCATCCCCCTGCACAGCTCAGGGGGAGGAGGTAGAGAAATCGGGAGTGAAGTTGAGCCCGGGAAGAAGGGAGGGGTGGGGGGAAGGTGTTTTAAGATTTGTTTTTTATTCCTCATTACCCTACTCTGATTTGAGTGGTAGTAAACTGATTTTCCCCAAGTCAAGTCTGGTTTGACCATGACTGTAATTGCTGAGTGATCTCGCCCTGTCCTTATCTCAGGCTATGACCTTTTTGTTGTATTTTGTCTCCCCTGTCCAGTTGAGAAGGGGAGTGATAGAGTGGTTTTGGTGGGCACTCGGCACCTAGCCAGGGTCAACCCACCACAGTGTGGTACCATTTACTTCCAGCTCAAGCAATATGAATATATACTGGTATTTTACTAAAATGAAAGACATGCAGCTAGATAACATTAAGACAAATCTAGGAGACATCCATATCTATTCAGAGATGAAGCGCCAGGTAGGCAGCATCCCTCTATTAAGGCAGTGCCTGAATAAAAGTGTTATATTACAGATGCACTCTGTACCTACACTGTGGAGACTCTTTAAAGGCAGTGCAACATTCCATTTGGCCATAGTTTGTCTCATTTTTTGTGGTAAGACTAGAAACCCACAGGAAGGCATTCTTCCAGCTTCCTGTTTGCACATGAAGTTGTGGTGAAACAGGATTAAAAAACCACTATGCTTCACATCTAGTTTGTAGTCAATTCATCATCTCCTTTTCTTGAAATAATGGCTTGCCTCCCTCTGGTTTTAGGTTGCTCTTCAGACTATGGTATAAACTCTATTATTCCATAAACACTGTCCGAGAAGCGGGTAATGGGTAGTTATGCTAATACAGCAACCTTCATGCAGCCTCATGCACAAACTAACTAGACTAATTTCAGGTCTACAAAAATAAAGTGCTGTCTTTGCTAACTTTGTCTTAAAGCCTATTGCCTTTGCATAGGTCTTGAAGAACTAGGGAACAGAGAATTAAATCAGCAATATTATTCCTTCACCCCTTTCCTGTGAGTAAATAATTTAAGCCCTTTACCTCTGACAGTAAGTTTTATCAGCATGCCTTCATCTATTTTAACAGTGCATCACAGGCAGTGTTATTCTTCAGAACACCTTCACAGAGAAAGGTCATGTATAAAGTCAAGGGAAAGGCCAGTTTTAACTTTCAGCGTAAAGTAGTCATTTACTTAAAGAAAATCCAGGAAACCCAATTCAACTATACCTGTGAAATATGAGATTATTGGACTAAGGTCACAAGAAATATTTCTTCTCTTAAGAACAGATTATTTTTTACATTAAACAGCTATAAATATATTTGAGAAAGAAAAAACGTTCTGTTGAAGATCATCTTTTTCTGTTTGTAACTCACTCAGAGTGAATTCATAAATCTTGGCTGGGCCTTTAATTCACTGGAAAGCATATACATACACATATCATCTAGTCCAGTCCTTCCACAGAACTTGGCCAGCCAACATCCTTAGAATGAAAAAGAATTACACATACAAAATGTTAAATCCCAAATAACTCTTTAAAAATGCAAGTAATGTTGTCCCCTTAGATTGTCTCATTAAGAATGAGGTTAGATTGCAATCATTTGCCATCTTCATTTATTCTCCATAAATAATAAAGTTACTCAGCTTAGGAACAGCAATCTTACCTTTGCAGAAGACATAATCTGGACATTTTTAATGTGACCCCCCCCCAAAAAAAATCAATACCAATTTGATTTCCATGTCACTACATCAATAAAAATATAAGCAAGCTGACTTACAGGGAAAGGTAGAGGGCATATATCCAATATTCATTAAACTGAACAGGCCAGTGATTCAGTAGGTTCTGGCACTGACATTTTTAATACTGATAAAAATAATTTTATGTGAACTGAATGCCAGAGACTTGATTTACTTCAAATGAGTCCTTACAGTTTTGGTATGGTCCACTAGAGCACAGTATTTACACAGAACATTTATTTATAGTTATTCCCACTAACATAGTGTTATCACAGAAAGCTTTGGTTTATATTCATAGTGTAAAGGTGAAAAACATAGAGCAATGGAAAAACATGCTAAGCAAGACTTTGTTATTCTTACAAAATGTTACTGTGTTAATACTCTTGTTCGCAGTGTAATGTACTCTTGTTCTCAGGAAGCTAATAAAGGCACAGCAGCGAGGGCAGCTGCATGCACGTATACCTTCTCACGTTCAGTATGCTGTACAATAGCAAGTTTCAACACTGATTAACAACTCTATTGAAATGCAGTGAAACTTAAGTGTGCTTCAGTTTCTAGTTTAAGTTAACTAGCCAAAAAACATCCTCAAACTGAAAACCAGTTGCCTGCTATTTCACTTGCCTACAGATATACAAGTTAACACTAAAACATTTGGTAAGTTGGATTGACTATTGTAAAAACTAGAAACCCAACACTAATTTCAATCTAAAACCGCTTTTAAATCTCAAACCCTCCCCAGAAACCCTAACCAAACCAAATCCCCCAAACCTGACAGTATCACAATCCATACAGTCATTAGCATTCATATACAAAAATGTATAGACATTTTTGGATTTCAATTTTCTCTACGTTTTCCTGATCTATATGGTGTGCTAAGCATTACCATCTTTGGAAAAATGTAAGGAAGCAAAGTACTTGAACTCAGGGAAACAAGAGTTTGGAGATGAAGCAAATTTATTGTTTAGGGAGTATTTTAAATCAACAGCCACACACTATTGTAACATGGTACAGATACCGTAGAGCCTTGTAGGTAACCCATGGTTTAGAAAATGAAAGATGCGCCCTGCATAAAGGACAGGCAGAGAACAGCATCACTGAGGTACTAGTCCCATTTCTTTCAGGCAAATTACTGCATAGATATCCAAGGTTAAGGAGTTCTGACATTTTTCTGAACAGCTTTTACAGTTTCATAACATAACATAATGAAAATACATTGTATTTGAAACCAAAGAGCAGCATATTAGACATGCACCAGTAGAAAACATCCTGTGTACAATTTGAGATGTTAAAAGTACCATACACAACTTGGATGTTAATCTAAAAGCATACTAATTTAATTTGACTTCATTTTTTGTGGAAAAGAGTCTACATGGTTTTATTCATAAAAATGGAATTCTCAACATTCAGCTGTGGTGGGTATAACATGAACGTACACAGTCTTCATGTTCAGGTTCTTCATGGAGATGTCCTTTGTGATCTCTGAACCAAAAAAACAAGAAACAGAACCCGGTTAGTGCTCTTGCTTACAAGTGAAACTATCAACACTTGGTGGTTTGGTTTTTTCCTTCTTTTTATTCAGACAGTTCTACTGGTTTGATCAAAACAGGACTTGGGCAGAAACTGCTCAGCTCAAAATTCCCTCCTGTTAAAGCCCCGTGCATTAAAGGAAGGGTCACCACGTCAGGATTGCCACTGCAGGAGTTGAAGATACTGTTCTAGGTTACAAAGCAGAATTTTTTGAAAGCCTGTGTCAGCCCACAGCTCCCAGCTTCACACCCACCCAAAACAATATCTAGTTCAGAAAGTTATTTTATAATGCAACGAAGTCAATATTAACAATACAACACAATGCACTGAAAACCAGAATCCCCTATAAACATTATATAAGAATGGCCATACAGAGATCCATCTCCTCTAGTATCCCATCTCTGACAGAAGATAAAGCAACATTTTACGGAGTACAAGAATAAGAACATGCATACATTAACTTGAGTTCTATACATAAAGCAAGGATTGTAGTAGTATCTGCTGAAAAACTAATGTTGCAATCTTGTCGAGTACGCCTGAAGAATTTCATACCATACCAGATCAATTCCTTAAGTCTTTTCATAGCTATATGCACATAGTTTGGAACAGTAATAGGATAAAGTCTCACCAACAAACCTCTTTTAAGGATATAGCATAGTTTCGACAAATCTGTATTTGATTCAGGGTTTATAATTATTTATGAAATTTTGTGGCTACAGAAAACGTCACCTGCAAAGCTGGCAGGAGCTAGAAATCTCTTTCACTATTCTTGCCACCTTACAGAGCATTTTTCCCAAGAAGCTAGCTCAATGCTTCCCAACACCCATCAGCTGTAGCAACCTACCCCAATAACAGAACAGATTGTTTTGAATACTGGGAGGTACAGCTTTGGAACAAAAGTAATCTGAATAACAAGTATATCAGAGGTCTCTTTACTAAGGAACTTCAAAGTAGTAAACACAAATACATCCACTGAAACCAAAGCAAAAGTGTTATCGGGGTTATGGTGTTACTCTGCACACTAGAATCCCTATAGACAACACAAGCAAATAAAAGATAATTTTAAATTTTTGGCACTAGTGTTAGCACAAATGGCAGATTGGTAACATTCAGAATGGCTGGGTGTTTATTCAGTAGAAACAATTTTGTAGTGTACTCCACTGTATCACGGGACTGACATCTGATATTCACACTGCTCTGACTTGAGCTCACCTCCAGCTGACAGCAACCAAGGCAGTGTGTGTGCTGGGGGGAGGCAAGTCTGTGAAGTGAATCCATGGAGATAAGGTAAAAGCTGTTTAGTTTTCAGTAACATGATGTCCAAGTGAAAACTGATTCTAGAAATGGCACCAAGGAGTTCTGTTTCTATGTAACAGTATGCATGCTCCTTCTAACTTTAAGGTCCCCATCTTTCTTTGAAAAATATTTCATTTTTAGACTGAGCAAATAGTCTGCATCGAAGTTTAAAAGCCATCTATTAATTAAAGAATTAAGGAGTCCTTATGGATCATGATGGTACTGTTTTTAAGGAGTTCTCTTCCAATGTAGCGCTCTGCTTTAAGCAGCAGAGTACCCATTTACAGAACTACAAGAGTGGAGGTATCCACTCTTGTATCCACTCATTGCTGAATCCAATTCAGCAATTAGGGCTTTATTCCCTCATTAACCTTCCTTCCCTCCCCATGAAAATGTTACATGAGTATGTAAAAAAGTTATTTTGGTCTGCAGAAGCAGCCAAACAAACTACAAAATTGGTCTCAAAGTATTTTTTTTTATTATTTTTTTAAAATCCTGACAAATTAGGAACTACACGAAGCTACTATTTTCAACAGCATTTAATACAATAATTACTTTTAGAAATTGGAAACTTGATTTATCAACAAAATGTAAGGACATCCTCCTTTCTGTGCCAACTCCTCCAAAGGTAGACTTTGAAGTTAGCACATTAACAAGTATTGCCTTCATCCCAAATGTGTCTCTGAATCAGCTACTTGTAGCACGTGTTTCAATCTCATGAATAAGCACTGCTCACCACTTTGACATTTATTTATAGAATGTTTTTCCAATATTCCGAAGGGAGGGAGGGCAAAAACCACATTTGTTTCTGAAAAGCTGGTAAGCTTTTGCGCAATGGACAGCAGATGCCCAACAGCCTGTACCTGACAACATTTATAAAAATAATGTTTTCAAAACTGATACTCATTTCCCACCAAGTGATTTTTTTTTTTTAATAAAACAGGCATCAACCTTCCAATTCATGGGTTATTTTCATCAAATGCTTCAAAAGGTTAACAGCAAATAATTGGTTATTTTTAGAATTGTCGTGGTTTAACCCTAGCCAGCAACTAAGCACCATGCAGCCGCTCGCTCACTCCCCCTGCCCCAGTGGGATAGGGAGAGAATCGGAAGACTAAGAATGAGAAAACTCGTGGATTGAGATAAAACAGTTTAATAATTGAAATAAAGTAAAATAGTAGTAGTAGTAGTAGTAATAATAATAATATTAGTACTAATACTAATATACAAAGCAAGTGATGCACAATGCAATTGCTCACCACCCGCTGACTGATACCCAGCCAGTCCCCGAGCAGCAATTGCTGCCCCCCGGCCAACTCCCTGCAGCTTCTATACTGACCATGACGTCATATGGTATGGAATAGCCCTTTGGCCAGGTTGGGTCAGCTGTCCTGGCTGTGCCCCCTCCCAGTTTCTCGCTGGCAGGGCATGGGAAGCTGAAAAGTCCTTGACTAGTGTAAGCAGTACTTAGCAACAACTAAAACATCAGTGTGTTATCAACATTCTTCTCCTACTAAATCCAAAACACAGCACTATACCAGCTACTAGGAAGAAAATGAACTCTATCCCAGCCAAAACCAGGACAAGAATAAACCATAAAAAAAACCTAATGAAGAGACTGAACTTTTTTTGTTTTGAAGGTAGGACCCTTGAAATACATTGATAAAAGGATGAATAGCAGATTACAAAGTTGCAACAATACACATAACCATTAATTGAACTCATGTTTTCCAGAGGCATAAAAGTATTTTATATGCAGCACTTATCACGTAAAGAGATCAGAAGATAAAATACAGCCATTTCAGTGTTTACACCATAAAAAAAAGTTATTAATGTATGGTGAGAATTACATCTGAGATAGCAGAAGCATAGCTATATGGCATGAGCATGTGTTAGCTACATAAATAAACGTCCAGGACCAAGTGCTCTACATTCTGAGTCTCAAAAAGACCAAATTAATCGGTTTAGTCTTCCAGGAGTTATTAAATCTGATCTTTCACATCATCATGGATTGTCACTTCATACACTTTATTTAATACTTCTGGAGAATTCATACTACAAATATGTTATAGAAGCGTCCCTCTTACGTAAAGGCATTTTAAAAATCTTAAATTGAGACTTAGAGGCTATAAATTTTCCTGTTTTGTCAGTTACTTCCCTCTTTCAAAGCTCAAAAGTTTTCTGCAATACTTCTTTTAGTATCTCAACTAAGTCATATGCTGCTGTGAGCCCTTTTGCCCTGTAACAATGATAGAAGCCAAAAAAGAAAAATGTGCAACATAAATTGCTCCTGAATGGCTACATTCCTAGTCAGCAAGGTTTTGCACATAAATACATTTTTTGTTTATGCAAATGAAGTGCGGTTGATATACTTGGTTCTTACACCTTGTGCTGTTTCTAAACACTACAGTCTCTAGTTCTCTGTGTTTGTTAACACCATTCAGCACCTTATTTTTAGCATTAGCTCAAACTACCACTGGAAAGTCTCATCAACATTTGAGATCCATTTTACTTACAAAAATGGCTTTTGAATAAACAGGGTTCAGGTCACATGAAATTAAAAAAAAACCAAACAAACAAACCAAAAAACCCAAGCAAAAATCCACAACAAAACCACCCACACCTTACTTGCTTTGTTTCTAATCTATCTGACTTGAATCCTTTCAACCCAGGTAGATAGCTAGGTGATCCCAGTTTTAGACAGCTACACTAGAGAGCTACACTCCTCCTCCCATCATCAGCTGACAGGCAGCTCCCAAGGAAATTCATCGCATCTTAGGATTAGATAACTAATTTAAACAAGATGTCTAACTTCTGGACAGGTAACCTAACATGCGGTAAGTTAAGTGTCATGTACCCTTCCCAAAGTGCTTGTAAATCATGCCATTATGATAAACTGCAGTCAGGATCCTTTACATCATTTCATTCGAAGAGTTGAATTTTTCTGAATACACAGAAATATCTGGGTTTTTTACCACGTGGTTTCCAATCCATTCTTCCTGTCAAATAAAGTCCCAAATCTTTCTCAGGGACAACTTCTTAGCACTACAGGTGGCTACATCTTTAGTCCTATTTTTCTCATGAATCAGAAATTTTTGTTTCTAAGGCTCACCATCTGTCTATGGAAGATATATGTTGTTTTGGAAGATTCTTTAACATTTCAGACAAGCGACTATGTGATGAAGCTTCCTACTTCCCAGGTATTCTGAATGAACTGCAGCTGCTGTACCTTACCAAATCTGACCTACTCACACAACTCTAAAATAGATCTGATACTCTTTTCCACTCACTTCCATTCTCCAAGAAAAAATAGTATCTGCAACAATATGAATGTTACAGGAGTAATTTGAACAGGTTCTTAAAATAGTCACACTTTAGACTCACTCACTTCTAGGAGAAGATTCACTCTCTCTGCTTAGTCACAGCAGCATGTAACCACCATTTACATGGCTGGCTGACCGTTCTACTTCAAAACGAAGAAACTTTCACAGAACTTGTCTTGGCCATTTCATGAAGGGAATGCATTAGGGCTTTCAATTTCTAAATGTATATGTGCGCTTAAAGGATTTTATTAAATAAATATTGAATTACTGGGTAAAACTAGCAACCAATGTGTAAATAATGTGCATTTAGTAATTAAACTAAATCTCAGGCTATACTAGCTGCTCCTCAAAAAAAATTTCCAAGTATCCTTGGACAAGGAAACCAAAAGTTGGTGCTTACCCTGAGTTTGCGCTTCATCCAGGAACAATTTTAGCCTCCTGCTTCTGAGCCCGAAAACTTTTGCTGTTTCATGTAGAAGACCTTGGTATGTTAATCCATTCTGACCAACAGGGTTTTCCATTAGAAGAGTTCCCACTGTTCCTTTCTGACATTCTGAACAAGATAAACAGTTCAATCACTATTGGTGAGGAATGATATTTCTTCATTTCATCTCCGTTTCTTCATAGTGCTGAGTAATTGCCAATACCAACCTACTCACAGATATTCACTAAATAAGTTCATGAATTATAGTATCAGAAATATAGATGATTATTAACAGCTTGACAAACAAAAGAAAACTTCGCAGAATTCTTTACATGGGTCAACAGGATAACCTAGAGACTGGGAAACATGAAATATTTCAACAGGACACACAAACCACTAAGAACTACAGAAGCTCACAAAGCACCTTCTGATGATCAAATCCCCAGTTAAAAACACATTTTTGGCCCAAGTAGATTCCCAGCAATATCAGTAAGATTCCACATGGACAGTCCGGAAAGGACTCATACCAGGGCAGAGATTAAGAGCAAGTTACTAACAACACAGCTGTTCCAACATGAGGTTTCAGAGTAGAAGTTACAAGAGTGGAAGTTACAAGATTAGCAGCTGTGAAACAGAATTACATACACATATCAATACTCCAGATCAGGTTAATAATACAATTCATTTGGCTTTTAAATAGCACTAAGAAATGTTTCAAAGGCTGTTTATGATGTCTTGGTAAAGAGCTGGTTCCTCCTTCATTTTTGGTCAGTTTTAGACTCAGCCTTTTAAAAAAAAAGGCTGCACATTTCAGCTGATGGTCAGAAATAGGAAAACAATGCTGAAGGGCTCATGTTTAAATGCTGTCCCTTATCTCAAACTGGCTCTCCTTTTTCTTTTATGAAAAGAGGGAGAAAAGCTAAATATAAACATCGTGTTTATTAGAAAGCAAATACTAGGAAAAAATAAACCAAATCACCATCTACCAGTGAAAACATATGTACTTCTCTTCATCAGTAAGCGACGGTGTCCAAAACTTGTATCACAAAAAGCTCAGCCTGTAAATGAGGAGAGATCAGTATCCTACATACCTTGTGGTTTTGCGTTCATTAACTGCAAGTTGATATACTGGCAGAGCAGAGCATCAGGAGAGTTGATCAGAGCAGGTGCTGACCCTGTTGTCACATGAAGAGTCTTTCCGCTGAGACTAAGCAAGTCAGTTTTACTTATCAGTTCTGAAAAAGAAAATGAGACCAGTCAGGCCATTACAGGGAAGCAGAGGTCTAGTTCTCACTCGATTAGCTGACAATGAGTCTTTCTAACTACTGATTCCACTGTGGAAGTGTTTCCCTCTTCGCAATTCCTTCCTCAAGAAAGAGCATTTCTCCATTTTGAAAAATGACATATGTGCAGAAATATTTTGTTTTCTTAACAGAGTACTTCATCTGCTGTGGAAATTAGCTCCTATGTAACATTTTTTATGCACATAAATATGCAACGTGATTACTTATGTAATAGAAATAATTAAATAACTTAAAACAAGCAAGATATTATTCACTTAAGCCAACCATTTCCATCTCATTAAATTAAGACCTATGATCTTTGCCTCTACCCCGACTTCCCTAGCCGAAGCAGCACTGGATATGTGTTACTATGCAACATCAGGGCATTTCCCTCATCAAACTCCAGATGACAATAAATGTAAAAATCAGTGGCTGGTTAGCTCATGAATAATGCCCTCTGCATTAATATTTGTGTTTAATGTCAACAATAGCTGATGATTCAGCATGTGACTCCAGCCATGCATATTTAGAAAATGGTGGAAGATCAGACCCAAAATAGGACCCATGCCTCAAAGGATTTTAGAAGTAATCCCAGCGCCCTCAAAGCACTCAGACGAGAAACCGATGAGGTTTCTGTAATACAAATTAAGTATGTAAGGCTGCATTCTGCACTACCTACATAAGCAGTTGCCTGCCCATCACAGAGGCAAAAAAAGCTGCTGATAGCCACAACATTAAAGATACAGAAAAATAACATCACTCTGCTACAAAGCTTTTGCAGCTACAGAAGAACTCCAAAGACTAAATCCAGGAAGAATTAATAAATTTAATTTCTTGTAAGAATTGTGCATTGCCTGTACATACAGAACAGGCATATCTGTCATCTCTTTCCAACAGGTTTTCATTCCATATCCGCCCTATTCATGGAGCCTAAGCTTTACAAAGCTTATTTTCCATCAGTTTATCTGAATGAATTTCAAAAGGGCAGAAGTGGCACTCCTTTTCCAAACGATGTTTGTAAACTTAAAAATGAAAAAACAAGAAAAAACCCTGCAAACCAAACAAAACAAGAACACCCCCCAAAACCAAAAAACAAAACAAAACAAACCCCCCCAAAAGGTGAAAAGTAATCACAGGCTACAAGCTCTCAAAATTTTGCCAACTGCCAGAGAACATCAAAGCACGATGCGATGTGGAAGGCTTATGAGGCTTCCCTGAGGAAGGATGAAGACCTCAGACTACATCTAAGATTCTAAATTGCTATCTTTTAAAAATCAAATTTTATATATATGTGTGTGTGTATATATATATATACACACATGTATATATAAAACAAAATAAAATGAAGCTTTAAAGAAAAAGGCAAAACTTCATTGCTGCTTCTAAAATTCAGTTTTCAAGAATGAAGATTTTACAATGATGGTGGCCATCCACCAACTACCCAAACACTTCTTTGGTATGTTTGAGGTGCAAGGCACATGCTCAAGCACAGGAGGGGGCTTTGCTTTTGGTTTTACTTACAGGAAAGCAAGAAAACAACTGAATTAATAAGTGGAAAGGAATTAACAAGATTTCATCACAGGAAATTTCATCATATGAGTCAGCAGCAGGATTTTCCTAGCATAACCCTAAAGCAGCATTGCTTGCCATTTACATACAATTCACAGGTCATGGGTCGGAGACAGCACCAGTGAGCTTGGTGCTTTACGGAGCAAGAAACAACACAGAGCTCAAGCAACTTCAAGTTTGACATTACCCAGTTGCCAGGATCTGTGCAGATCTATGCAGGGCAACAGGGCATGAGCTCCAGCAATGGTGATTTGCGTATTTAACAAATCTAGCATTTTGCATTATAGGACTGCTGATACTTTCACAAGGAAGAGCTCATGTACAGTGCTGTCAATGGAGTCAGTTCATATAACCCACTAAAAAAGAGCAAGAAAGAGAAAAAAGTGGATAATTTTTTCCACATATAACAATACACTTGAAAATAAGCAGATATGACAAGTGCTCATCAATATTAAAATCACTTTTAAAGTCAGTTCTCCCTGCAACTGAGATTTAAGTGGTAATGCTCTCCTAAGGTGCCTTACAGCCTCATGGCCTTTTAAAAATTAAAGATTTAAAAAAAAATTTTTTGTACTACTGTTCAGAAAACAGTGCTAAGAAGAGAACTAAAAAAAATTAGCCATCTGATAATCATAAAGTTGAAATAAGACATGGACTAAGATGTTTGTAGGGGGATTTTTGCTTCACCTTCCCTTTCCCCCTTTTTTAAGCTCTACATGACTTACAGCCTCATTTATTCCCCTAAAACAAACAAATTGAAATTTTTTTAAATAGGTCTTTTTCAATATGGGCTACTTCCATGAAAGCTGAGAACGAGTCAAAAAGCATTCCCAATAAGTTTAGAACGTTTTCAGCTTTCCAGCAATCTAGAGCAAAAAGGAAGTCACGGACAACTGTTTTTACCATCTGACTTGAGCCCAGCCGCTTTCCTTTAAATGATTAATTTTTTTTTTTTTTTTTTAATGTAAAAAGAGACAAATTCTATTCTTGGTTTCCAAAGGTCAGGACAAATCCCAGAGCCTTGTTCTGTGTTTGTGCAGTTACTCAAAAGACATTGATACACTATTGGGGAGGAAACGTTTATCCCATTATTTCAATGTTGCACTGAAAAACAGGGACATGACATATATTAGCCTGCCTTAATACAAGGAACTGCCTGGTTCTGTGCCATTATGCAACCCTAAGTAAATCTTCATTATAACTAGAAAACAAGATAATAAATTACTGCAAGTAAAGTGGACAGCCCTAAAAACCACAGGAAGGAAAATAAGGAGCCAGAAATATGTTTTTACTGGGTCACAATTTTATTAACACACATGGGAACAATTCAGCAACAATTTGTCCGGAGTGAGTGACCTTTCTTTGCAATTCCTCTCAGATAGAGTGGCTAATACCAACCCCCTGCCTTACCTGAAGAGGCTCTGGAATCACCATTAGGCCTCACCTAACATTACCTGTGTGAAGGCTGGGCAGATAAAGCAAAGGGATTGTATCCAAAGCAAACATCAGGAATTTCAGTTCTATTCTCTAACATCTTTAAGAGCTATTTTCTTTGTAGATGCTTTCAACCCTGACTCCTCAGGGAGCCATATTTTCTGCTGATCAAGACTTATTCAAGATCTCTGCCAAATTACAACAAAAGTGAATTTGATAATCTAATCTTTCCAAGGGAATTTTCATGTTGTTAATAAGCGGGCAGGGAAAAAAAAATGCGCTCTGCCCAGAGCACTTACAAAGAGTGGAAGTTTGAAATCAGCATGCCAAGATGGAAAGTCCCAAAATGATACCTACACAGCAAAAGCAACATGGAAAGGAAAGAAATAAAGCCTTTGTTACTCCTGCAGAAAAGAACCTTTGAGGAAGAGGGAAGGTTTAGATTTTCTTTACTGCTTCCTTTAGGAATTCAGCATTAGTAGATTGATGCTGCATCCTTTTGTCCTGTTAGTGGCAGAAAACAAACCAAATAAGGAATCAAACGGCTTATAATCTTAGTATGAGAGTTTCCCAACTCTTCTTGGCCTTTTGCAGGTCACCTCTTAATAACTGTACTGAATGAATTGTAATAATTCTACTGTAATGAATTGTACTAGTATATGCCCATCTCTGTATGCACATACCACACTGCTATGACATATATCACTAATATTTGGAAAATGATTTCAAGGAAAACTATTTCCGCCTTTAAAACATAACTGAAACTTGAGGAAGATACTGAGGGATCCAGAATTTCCTATATATCATCTACAACTGAAAGGTGAGAAGAATCATTTTGTATGATAGAACTATTCAGTTCAGCTGAACACAACTTGGAAAGAGGTTTTATCACAGTAAGGAGAGGTTTTATCACAGTAAGGTAAGTGCATTACATCTGATACAAAACCCCCCAAACATTCTTCTAGAAATACTTTCAGAAAAAGACAAGTAAGAAAACTAAAGATCAAGATGGTACCAGTGACATTACAGACTCAAGTTAAGACTATTCCCCTTCTGATGTCACAGGTAGACAGGAACTGGTGATCCTTAGCAGTCCTGTGGGCACCCCAAAACAGTCTTTCACAACCGCCAATTAAAGTATCTCCCTCTTAGATGTTGCTTCAGTAGTATTTCTATGAAAACACACTAGCAAAAGTTTCTGTAGCTGTCCAGTTATAATTTTGCAGTATTTTATCATGTGTCACTCATTTTAGACTTAATACAAATGGTGTGGAAACAGACAAAGTTTGAACTTCAAGATGTACCTGTAAACAACCCTAAGAACATATGAAGAGCTTACTATTACTGTTCAAACATCACGGCATGGCCACTACAATACTCTACTTTCTGTATTCATTCACTAAGTGTTTGGTTACTAGTGTAATCTTGTTCCCAGTGTGCCAATTTTTAAGTTGTAACTTTTCCTGATGTATTGAAATATTATACATAATGTAATAATAAAACAGCACCTTTATCTCAGGGGAGAGAATGCCAGTTTGCTGGTAGGGTCTCAGAGTCACTAATTCTAACATCTTTCATAGTTTTTTTCTTCTCTGTTGCAGCTATATTATCTTTGTAATGAATAAAACTATGATATAGCCTGTAACGTTACATATAATCCATAGACGATATTTTACATTCTTATGCCTTAACAGAGGCCAAGTTCAAGCTGCAAAAATATTCCATAGATTTTTCTAAAAAGAAGAAATGCAGAGATCCTCAAGTTTCTCTAGGGTGAAAAAACAACATCTTTTTCCTCTACAGACAGCAGTTTGCATTCAATTTAAATTCTCACCCTGCCTACTGAGGCATTAGGGAAAAAAAAAAAAGCATGCAAAAGCTGACGGCAGCCTGCCATCAACATGTAGCATTGCCTGGACCTGATGGAAACACTTTCTGAAATAAATCAG